GTCTAGTTTATAGTCTAGTCTATGGTCTAGTCTATAGTCTAGTCTATAGTCTAGTCTATAGTCTAGTCGATGGTCTAGTCTATAGTCTAGTCGATGGTCTAGTGGATAATCTAGTCGATAGTCTATTCGATAGTCTACTTTATAGTACATATAGTCTAATCTATAGTGTTTAATCTGAACTACAGTCTAAGCTGTAGTCTAGTCGATTGTCTAGTTGATAGTCTAGTCGATAGTCTAGTCGATAGTCTAGTTGATAGTCTATAGTTTAGTCGATAGTCTACTGTATAGTCTACATTATAGTATAGTCTACACTCTAGTCTATAGTGTTTAATCTGAACTACAGTCGAGTCTGTAGCAGGAACTAAATCTAGAAATCAACTCCATTTCCAAAACTCATATTGTCTGTCTGTCCAGCTGTCTATCATGTATTAATGTAAGTAAAATTTTTTCGGATATTAAAATTCACATAATTTGCTTAAATATCTCGCACCGTCTCTAATTAACAACAAAAAAATATTATCTAATCTTCTTTTTTGACATGGTATTAAAACGAAATTTTATTAAAAGAATTAAACGTTTTTTTTTTATTTTTTATCTTCTAGATAATAAATGGTATCATACTGTAACATGCGTCATTAAACATCTGCTATTCTTTTAGCCGAAACTAAAAAAAAAATATTTCCAGCTTGTTTAAAGTGTATAAACCAAAACAATTGTGAGTCATGAAAATTCTATAAAGATTTTGTTAACAATTGTTTGGAAAAAAAATCTTATCTAACACTTTAAAGGCAAAAAGAACGAAGTGTTAATTGATCGTTAGCAATTCGTATAAATATTACTTTCCCATTAAAAAAAGGCTGTTTGTCAAATTGCAAATATTACGTGGCTTTTGCTAACAAATATTGATAAGTTTTCAGTTAATAAATAAATAAAAAAAAAAAAACTTATGGAAAATTAAAATTTTATTGGCGGTAAATTAGCAAAAATGTTAGATTTAAAAGTCTACTTAGGAATGGAAATATTTTGAACTGACCTACCTTATCATATCTAAAGCTTTTCAATAAAACACTTTCTTTTAAAGATTGTTAATAGTTGATAATAAATACTGAAATGACAAAAGTTTCGACTTAAAAGAACTACTTTCGCTATAATTTCAAGTTCAGCAAACATTTATAAAAACTTTGTGATAAGTAGTGTTCAAAAACAAATGGTATAATATGAACTTATCAATTTAAATTTAGTTTTGATATGATTAAAAAGAACATACTAGTGTTAATTGATAACAAATCTATTGAAGTATGCGTAGCTATAAACTGTACGTATTATGAAGAGTTATTTATAAATTATTTTGCTTCAAAAAGTCCCTAAAATTTAATGTTTAATTTTTAATAGTTTTATATAATTCGCACACTTTTTGGAAGTAGTAGTGGATTATAAATATGATAAAACCAATAAAAAATAATTTGAATGGTTTTTCCCCTTCGATTTGGATAGTATAGTCTATAATGACGACTACAGTCCAGACTATATTCTAGTATATAATCTGGACTACTGTCTGGACTATATAGTCTAACCTATACATTAAAGATTAGACTATAGTCTAGTCTATAGTCTAGTCTATAGTCTACTCTAGTCTAGTATCTAGTCTATAGTCCAGTCTACAGTCTAGTCTATAGTCTAGTCTATAGTCTAGTCTATAGTCTAGTCTATAGCCTAGTCTATAGCCTAGTCTATAGCCTAGTCTATAGTCTAGTCTATAGTCTAGTCTAGTCTAGTCTAGTCTATAGTCTAGTCTATAGTCTAGTCTATAGTCTAGTCTATAGTCTAGTCTATAGTCTAGTCTATAGTCTAGTCTATAGTCTAGTCTATAGTCTAGTCTATAGTCTAGTCTATAGTCTAGTCTATAGTCTAGTCTATAGGTCTAGTCTATAGTCTAGTCTATAGTCTAGTCTATAGTCTAGTCTATAGTCTAGTATAGTCTAGTCTATAGTCTAGTCTATAGTCTAGTCTATAGTCTAGTCTATAGTCTAGTCTATAGTCTAGTCTATAGTCTAGTCTATAGTCTAGTCTATAGTCTAGTCTATAGTCATAGTCTATAGTCTAGTCTATAGTCTAGTCTATCAGTCTAGTCTATCAGTCTAGTCTATAGTCTAGTCCTATAGTCTAGTCTATAGTCTAGTCTAAGTTAGTCTAGTCTAGTCTATAGTCCTACTCTAGTCTAGTATCTAGTCTATAGTCTAGTCTATAGTCTAGTCTATAGTCTAGTCTATAGTCTAGTCTATAGTTCTAGTCTATAGGTCTAGTCTATAGTCTAGTCTATAGTCTAGTCTATAGTCTGGTCTATAGTCTAGTCTATAGTCTAGTCTATAGTCTAGTCTATAGTCTTGTCTATAGTATAGTCTATAGTCTAGTCTATAGTCTAGTCTATAGTCTAGTCTATAGTCTAGTCTATAGTCTAGTCTATAGTCTAGTCTATAGTTACTCTAGTCTAGTATCTAGTCTATCTAGTCTATAGTCCAGTCTACAGTCTAGTCTATAGTCTAGTCTATAGTCTAGTCTATAGTCTAGTCTATAGCCTAGTCTATAGTCTAGTCTATAGCCTAGTCTATAGTCTAGTCTATAGTCTAGTCTATAGTCTAGTCTATGTCTAGTCTATAGTCTAGTCTATAGTCTAGTCTATCTATTCTCTTCTAGTCTATAGTCTAGTCTATAGTCTAGTCTATAGTCTAGTCTATAGTCTAGTCTATAGTCTAGTCTATAGTCTAGTCTATAGTCTAGTCTATAGTCTAGTCTATATATAGTCTACAGTCTAGTCTATAGTCTAGTCTATAGTCTAGTCTATAGTCTAGTCTTAGTCTAGTCTATAGTCTAGTCTATAGTCTAGTCTATAGTCTAGTCATAGTCTAGTCTATAGTCTAGTCTATAGTCTAGTCTAGTCTAGTCTAGTCTATAGTCTAGTCTATAGTCTAGTCTATAGTCTAGTCTATAGTCTAGTCTATAGTCTAGTTCATAGTCTAGTCTATAGTCTAGTCTATAGTCTAGTCTATAGTCTAGTCTATAGTCTGTCTATAGTCTAGTCTATAGTCTAGTCTTAGTCTAGTCTATAGTCTATAGTCTAGTCTAGTCTATAGTCTAGTCTATAGTCTAGTCTATAGTCTAGTCTATAGTCTAGTCTATGTCTAGTCTATAGTCTAGTCTATAGTCTAGTCTATAGTCTAGTCTCTAGTCTAGTCTATAGTCTAGTTCTAGTCTGTCATAGTCTAGTCTATAGTCTAGTCTATAGTCTAGTCTATAGTCTAGTCTATAGTCTAGTCTATAGTCTAGTCTATAGTCTAGTCTATAGTCTAGTCTATAGTCTAGTCTATAGTCTAGTCTATAGTCTAGTCTAGTCTAGTCTAGTCTAGTCTAAGTCTAGTCTATAGTCTGTCTAGTCTAGTCTATAGTCTAGTCTAGTCTAGTTCTATAGTCTAGTCTATAGTCTAGTCTATAGTCTAGTCTATAGTCTAGTCTATAGTCCTAGTCTATAGTCTAGTCTATAGTCTAGTCTATAGTCTAGTCCCTACTAGTCTAGTCTATAGTCTAGTCTATAGTCTAGTCTATAGTCTAGTCTATAGTCTAGTCTATAGTCTAGTCTATGTCTAGTCTAGTCTATAGTCTAGTCTATAGTCTAGTCTATAGTCTAGTCTATAGTCTAGTCTATAGTCTAGTCTATAGTCTAGTCTATAGTCTAGTCTATAGTCTAGTCTATAGTCTAGTCTTTAGTCTAGTCTTTAGTCTAGTCTATAGTCTAGTCTATAGTCTAGTCTATAGTCTAGTCTATAGTCTAGTCTATAGTCTAGTCTATAGTCTAGTCTATAGTCTAGTCTATAGTCTAGTCTATAGTCTAGTCTATAGCCTAGTCTATAGTCTAGTCTAATCTAGTCTAGAGTCTAGTCTATAGTCTAGTCTATAGTCTAGTCTATAGTCTAGTCTATAGTCTAGTCTA